TTTTTTTTTTTTTTTTTTTTTTTTTGTCTTTTGTCTTTTTTCCGTGTCCGGCAACGGATCGCAACCCTCAGTGTTGCCCCCGTACCAGACCGGGGACCGGCAACGGGATCGCAAACCTCGGTGTTGCTCCCGCGCCTCGCTCAGCCAGTGAGCAGGAACCGGTCTGTATGTGGGATCCGAACCCTCGGGCGGGAGCGCCACCGCGCTTCCCAAGCGGCGCACTATCCAGTGCACCACCGGGCCGGCCCTAATTTTAATTTTAAAAGATGCCTGTGGTATGTCTTATGAGAAAGTCTATCATAATATCAAGCAAATGACAACAGATTATTACTGTTCTCGAATCTGCTGGGAACCACTGGCTGGATATTGAAAGTTGAGAAGCAAACATCACCGCTTTCAGCCCAGGAAGCCCAAATACTTTGGAAAATTACTAATATTTGGCAAAACAATTAAGCAAGAAAGTGTCCAAAATGCTGAGAACTGAATCATGATTCATAACTATCCTCCAGGGGAAAGAACACCACCACCAAATCCCACAACTCTTTTTTAAAAGACTGAAATACAAAACTAGAGGAGGGAGATGTGCAGAACAGACTGGGATTTCAGTAAAGCATTTGCCTCCAACAGCATGCCATTTTTGTGAAAAATAAGAGTTCTCAGCCACTGAGAAAAAACATGAGAGACCAGGGGAAGAGGTGAGAGAGGCAAGGAGAGAAGGTTGTACCTGCCCATGAGGTCAGTGTGGAGTGGCTGTGTCCCCCAAGGGGGAGGAGATGCCCTCCTCTCCCTGACACAGGAGGAGGCATATCTCAGCTCAATTCTGCCTCACAGTGGCTGGCTGCCCTCATTAAAGTGAAGATGAACTTGAGCTCTTCCTGCTACACAGGAAGCAGCCTGGACGCCTCTCCCAGAGGTGGTTGGCTTCAGGAGTGTTGATGGTGACAGGATGGCCTCTGCACTTGCTTTGGCCAGGTCCCCCTCTGCAGCTGAGGGCACACCCTTCAAGGTGGCTGGGATGAGGGCTGTTGTCAGGGCCATGCTGGTCTCCTTGGGAGTCACACAGAGCACAAAGCCCTCATGCAGTAAGCTCCCAGCTCTCCTGAGGCTGTGGCCTGCCCAGTCACACAGCTAGTTAGCAGCAACGTCCCAACTGGAACCCAGGTCTCCCAGCCCAATCACTGGTCTAGAACCCTTTCCACCATATTTCCTCGGCAGCGGTCTAGCAGAGGGAATCGAACCATGGGCAGAGCTGATGCTTCAGCAAAGACACTGTGGTCAAGTCTATGAACCCAGAGGAAGGAGGCCCTTTGACTTGTTAGGGGGAGCTTCCTCAGGGCACAGAAGGGAAAAAACAAAAGCAAGTTTATACTCATAGGGAAACATAACCTATGATTATAAATATTTCATGGGCAAAGAAAGCAGTATTGGCTGAGAGACTGGGGTGGAGAGGGTGGACAGCAAATTAGATCCCAGTGTGCAAAGTGATAGGGCAGCTGGAAAAGCAGCAAAGCTGAGGCTATTCTGGGCTGTGTGCTGTGAGGGCCTGCGTCACAGGCCCTGGCCACCTGGCTTTGTTGAAACCACAGCCTTCCAGCGGTCAGCATGGAAGACCTTGGAAGGAGAGGTTATGTCCATGGAAGACCAGGGGAGGGGACAGTAAGGACACAGAGGAGAGTCACTTGAATGATTTGTGAAGCTCAACAGCAGGGAGGTGGGAGAGAGGATGCAGCAGAGCAGCCAGCACCCTGCAAGCATGTGAAAGAAAGAGAACATTTCCTACTGACTAAAGGCAGAGGAAGAAGTGAGCCCAACCCCAGCAAGCAAGTGACCAGAGAAGCCAGAGGGCAGCTCGGATCAAGCTGTCCTGGTCAGTGCAAAGGTGCAGTCCTGAGCACCAGGACTGAGTGCCAGGCTGAGAACAATTCTACCTGTCCTTTGCCTCAGGCCAGGGGTGTCTTCCTCCCACAGTCTTTGGGAAGCAGCACAGAAAGCAGGGAAATGAAGAGCCTGCTGAGTACCAGCTGCTGAGGCTGGAGAGAAAAACTCACTGACAGCAAAGCAGGCCCGTTTTGGTGTGATTCTTCCTCCTTGGCCACATCCAACTATGCAGCACAGCATGTCAACCACAGATTCCTTCCAGAGGACCAGATGGAGAGGAATATCAGCTCCTACAACACCCGGAGCACCTTGAATCCAGCTTAGTCAGAGAAGCCTTGGGGAGCGATATGCTCCTCAACTGGAAGATGTAAAACTGAGAGCCTCTGCCTCCCTACAGTCGAGGCTTAGTAGGCAACAGCCTCTGAGGTGTACCTGCAGCATTCAGGAGAATTAGAACATCAGCCTCTAGGATCATAGTGAGTAAGAACCAAGTCAAGGTGGAAAGGACTGGTCAACTGCAAAAGTAAGACCAATAATGTGGAAAGATTCTGAAGTGGAAGTCACAAGAGCTGGCTTTGAGACAAGCTTTACCCCTTATTAGCTGTAAGCCCCTGAGAAGTCACGTTACTTCTGAAACTCAGTGTCCTTACCTAGAAAACAGGACCAATGCCTGTGAAACTCATGGACCGTAAGGAACACCAAACATGAATGTTTTCAAGTTACACTAAGTGCTATTCCAATTTGGGATGATTCGTACCCAGCTATCTACTTGACATCTCTTGGACGTCTCAAAGTCACCTCCATTCAGCTTGCCTGCAACTGCTATTCCTCCACCACTCCCGGGGCTCCCCTATAGCACCCTAGCTCAGTGTTCAGCATGACCAACCACCCAGGCAAGGAAGCCAGAAACCTCGGACCCATCCTTGGCCTTAAACCCACCATATTAATCCATTACCAAGTCCAGCCAACTGTACCTCCTAAAGGTGTCCTCTTCCCTCCACCGCCTCTCTAGCCCATGTCATCAACTTGCAGTCTACTGCAAAGCCTACGCTCATCCACTCTGACCTCCCCAAACCCTGCTCCACAGAGCACATCTAACCGTGGCTCCCCTGCCACTGCCCCTCCCTGCTTGCTAAATATCCTCCACCAGCATCCCAATGCCCTCAGTATAAGAAAAACCTTCCCAGGGCTTCCAAGGCCCTGCATGGCTTGGCCCTGCTCCTCTTCCGGCCTCACCCCACACCATGTTCCCTCTCGCTCTCTGTGCTGAAGCCACACTGGCTTTTTCTTTCAGCCCCTGATCCTTATCCCATTCCCTCCTGCCATAGGGTTGGTGTACACACTCTCCCCTCTGCCTGCAATATCTCCCCCTCTTTTCTCACCTAGCTAATGCCTACTCATTTATTCTCACTAAGGTATAAAGTACACAAAGTGCACTAAAGTGAACAGCTCAATAATTATTTACAGATGTATACCCTCAAGTAACTCCCACACAGGTCTAGATTTAGAACATCCCAACATCCAGAAGGTTCCCTCTTGCTCCTTCCCAGTCTGTACTCTCCCCACCCCCCAGGGTAACCACTATTTCAACTTCCATAACAATGCCTGATCAAACTGCAGCTGATACAACCCTTTCTCAGAGAAGCTGCCTCTAATCCCACTGAAAGAGACTAACCCCTTCATCATAGGCCCTTGTTACACTTGTGGTTTTACACTTATTTGAGGAATTCTTTGGTTCATGTCAGTTTCCCTGGGACACTGTAAACTCCAGGAGGGCAGGGCCGCACCTGCTTTCACTCGCATGTTTTCCAGTGCCAGCACCTGCACAGTCATGGTGACAGGAAACAGCTAATACCTATGAGTGCTTATTATTGCCAGGCACCATTCTAATCACTTACAGGTCCTGACTCATTTAATCCTCACACCAACCCTGTTAAGTAGGTACCATTATTATATCATCATTCTACCGGTGAGGATACTGAGCCACAGAAAAGTAATATAACTTGCCCAAAGCCATGATGTGGTGGAGTCAGGATTCAAACCCAGGCTGTCTGGTTTTAGAGCCTGTGTATGTTCTTAACCATTATACATTAATCCACCTCTCAGAGGCCACTGAGATATTGAATGAGTAAGTGCCAAAGGTATTTTAAATAATTAATGAACTTGTAAATGGTTGATAAGATTCACCTAAAGGAACTAAGGGAACCCCTAAATCTTCCCAAGCAAACCAACAAATGAATGTCAAATTGTCATTGAATCACCTGCACAGGCCCACAATTACGTCATCTGTAAATATAAGGACTTGTCCATTCCTCCAGCAATCCAGGGAGGAAGCTCCACTATTTTTTTTTTTTCCTTTTTGTCTTTTTTCGTGTCCGGCAATGGATCGCAACCCTCAGTGTCATGCCCGTACCAGACCGGGACCGGCAACGGGATCGCAACCCTCGGTGTTGCTCCCGCACCTCGCTCAGCCAGTGAGCGGGAACTGGTCTGTATGTGGGATCCGAACCCTCGGCGGGAGCGCCACTGCGCTCCCCAGCGGAGCACTGTAGCAGTGCGCCACCGGGCCGGCCCAGGAAGCTCCACTATTGCACAGAGGAGCATCTTGGTAGATACTCCACAGTAAAGAAAGGATTACTGTCTGGGCTTTACTGCAGCCTAAAGGACATGTTCCACTGGATTAAATAAGTCCCTCTGCTCTTATTCCATGATAACCCAGTAATCTTTATAATCATTTAATGTCTCATACCCTCTAACAAAGGAAGAAGGCATTTTAGATGGGAAAAACTAAAACCTTAAGGTTGGAAAGTGACAGACTCCTCAGTACATTTATAAATTGGCATTGGTTTATTCCTCAGTTTTCCAGAGCCTGATAATCCTGGATGAACTCACATCATAGGGTCCAAACCAGAAAACCAAGGGCCCCGACCCTTGCACCAGATCTGCTCCATGCAAAGACTGCCATTTTGTGTGGCCACACTTGGGATGGCCACCTTTCAACTGCCTAAGTGTCGTTTACCTCACAACCACATGGCAGAAAGCTCAGGAAGAAAGCATACATGAAAATGTTTATTCTCTCACAGGACAATGTTACCCACTGTGAAGGGAGCAGCCATGTGGCTCCCAAGTGCCAGCTCAGCAAAGGCGCAGTTCTGAGCTGCTCCATTCACGAGTCCCCCGCAGCCAGAGGCCTGGGCTCTGTTCACACAAAGTTCTGAGCAATGGCCAGCACCTTGGAATACTCGCCTTCCCTCCGGCGCAGGCTGGTAGGGATGGGCGTCTTAATTCGGGTCCCCACAGGGTTCCCATTGTCCTCAATGAGAACCACGTTGTTGGAGTCGAACCTGGGGGTCATTCGGGGGCCAGGCATACGATGCCCCACAATGAGCGCCTTTTTTTTCTGTCCCCTGATAGCCAGCAGTATCTGGTCGCCCACCTTGCCCACCCCATTCTTGTTATAGACGTGGATGCACCGAGGAGGGCGATGGTACGGGGTGTTCCCCAGGGCACTGTTGTCCACCACACGCACCCGTGTCATCTTCTGAATTGCACTGAGGCTCCCGGTGGTGCTGGTGAAAGAGGAAAAAACGTGTGACCTCTATCTCTCCTGGTCAGGGTGTATATTAGCAGCACACACATGCCAAGCAGAGTATAACACAGGAGCCACGAAGGAAAATTAGGGGCTCATGAAGACTTACCTGTACCCAAAACAGTTTCCTTATAATTGAAAGTGTGTGTCTGCTGTTGTGTTAAGATCTTGATTTAGATGGGTTTTAAAGAGAATCCAATTTTTCTGTTACAACGAACTTCATGGCAGCCTTAACTTAAACGCCTCTGATTTCCAAAAAGACTCTGAGGACTTAAAGGAATTCCTTACGGGCCAGGCCTCACCCACTACCTATTCTGTAAAACCTGCTTCCCCAGAATACACTCATTCCCATATTTTCCCATCTACATGTTGTTGGTAACCAGAAGATATGAGTGGGTAGGTTTGCCAAGGGAGTCCCTCGATATAACGTAGCAAAAACTGGACATAAGTCAAGGTAACAATCTTTTGTTTTTAATACATTTTTCCCCATTAGAAAGGAATTTTTTTAAAAGAGTACCTATTAAAGGCAGATAAGGTATTACTAAGCAAGCTGATTACAGTGGGATTTTTTTTTTCCTGATGCTACCACCATAAGTGCTGGTATTCTCCAGGTAATCCTAGGACATCTTTTCTCATTCTACATGCCTACCCTGGGCAATTTTATACATTCCCATTACTGCCAACTAGTAAATTCCACCTCCAGCCTCACCTCTCTCCTATATTCTAGTCCTGTATTTCCACTCTCCTGAATTCCCTACAACATGTCCTACAGATACTGCACACTCAGTAGGTCCCAAACTGACTCACTACCTCCCCTTGCAAACCTCCTATTTAGAGAATGGCTTCTCCAGAAACTCTAGCTCCCAAGCCATAAATCTCTCTCTACCAACATCCACGGCCATCAAGTCCTATTGATACCTCTTCCTAAGCACTTCTGTCCTTTCTCTCTGCCCCCACTAACAACGTCCTTCATTCAGCAGCTCACTCTCCTATACCACAACCGTGACATTAGTGTGCTAACTGGTTCCCACTGCACCTCACTCTGCTGACAAAGAGCTCTCTTTAGAATATAAAACTGATGCCACTCCCCTGCTCAGAACTGCTCAATGTTCTCTGTCCACACTGTCGACGCCTGGTCCCAACTCGCCTACCTTCTGGGGTCAAACATCCTACCACTCATACATTCACTCTGCCCCAGTGGCTGGGACTACTGAAGCTCTCAAAACACAATCCGCCTCTCGGTCCTCCCTGGGGGCCTGAACGGGATCTGCTCCCACTTCACTGCTGGGAAGGCTGCTCCACTCTCCTTTGCTCCTCCTCCTCCTCCATTATCAGCTTCTGTCTCAAGCCTTCCAAAGCACTGTACAAACCTCTATTATTTTTACTTGTCACATTTTCTTAGAGTTGTTTATTTTCAAGTTTGCTCCCATGGCCAACAGTGAGAACTCTTTCAGGGCAGGAAGCAATTCTCATTCATCTCTGTATGACCAACCCCAGGCACAGTGCTCAGTGCATGCCTGTGGGCTGAGAGCACAATTGGGGCCAGAAGGCGTGTATGCCAACAGGCTTCGCATCTAAAAAGAGGGGAGAGTGTAACACTTCTATCATGGTCAGGTTTTTGGTAATAATCGTGTATTATTGTTATAAATTTTTTTAAAAAGATTCTATTCTTCAAACAAAGAATTTTAATGCACTGGGGGAATGATAGGGTCGAGGTGTCAGATTCACTACAAGAGTCTTACAAGGACTAAGACACAGCAGCACCCACCATATGCCATTCCCATCCCACCTCCCACAGCAAAGTCTCCTCCTTACCTATCTCTCATCCTGTGACCTGACCAAACCCCAGCTCAGCCTGATTCCTTTGGCTTTCCCTGACCCCATGCCCACCTCCCTGAGTTTCCACTCCATTCTAGTCACCATATTGCCCAGCCCTGATGGAAGGCTTACTCAAAGCCACAGTTTTAAGAACTTAATGGGAAAAGTTACCTGAAACAGCGCTGGCTGAGTGTTCCATTTACATGGGTGAAGAGGCCCCAGAGCCCAGTAAAGAAAGCCATGGGATCCCAAGATAGCAAATCCTGCAGGGAAAAGGGGGGAAAAAGATTGATTTCTAAGTCAGAGTCCTTACTCAGAGCCGCTTTTCTTTAGAGACTTGTGTGGGAGATGGCACTTCTAGCCCAAGATCATTAGTCACTAAATATAAATCTTAGTGGTTAAAAGATACACAGATGATTAGACAGAACTTCAGCTCCAATTTTGCTGATTCATGTTCTAACTCTGGGGTCAGAGAACTGGAATAGCCCACAGTAGTTCCTGCTGTAAGTAATATAACAGCACACAGAATGTCTTCTTCATCATATCCCTTCCACAGGCAGGAGGAAAACATGAATCCTCTGGAATACAGCCAGCCAGTGACTACTTCCCAAGTCTTCCAGAGAAAAAACTGCACACTGTTGCCCTTGCTGATACTCATGTACCTTCTGAAACTAGCACTTTGACTCCCCCAAAGAAAGGAGATTATTTAGATAACTACCTAAGTTGTCTGCCACTACTTCACCCTTTCCCCAAACGTGAAAGCCAGAACACCTGCATAGCTCGAGGCCAGCAAAGTAGAGCCAAAGGCTGCCTTTGTCAAGTCACTTACCAAAGTCTATACGTGTGTCAGTCTCCCAAACAACACTGTAACACCGGAAAAACTACCTATTCCATGCTACAGCTGAAAGAGGGCTTTGGGAAAGCAAGCTGGATATGAGAGAGCAAACACCAACCCAAGATTCATGATTCAAGCTTACAGAACATCAACCTGTAGCTCCCTAGCACTAACAAACATGGAAGTGGCCAGCGTCCTGCAACACCTAAACATCACTGAGGGGTGTGGTTAAGAAAAGCCTACAGCCAGCTGGTGATTCCAGCTGCAAGGCACATCTGTTCTCCCATCGAAATGTTTGGCTGCAGAGGGCCTCATTCGAGAGGTCTGCCAAGAAAAGCCTCTACACTGCAGGCATCACTGAGGGGTGTGGTTAAGAAAAGCCTACAGCCAGCTGGTGATTCCAGCTGCAAGGCACATCTGTTCTCCCATCTAAATGTTTGGCTGCAGAGGGCCTCATTCGAGAGGTCTGCCAAGAAAAGCCTCTACACTGCAGTATTTACACACAGCTTTGCTTTGCCCAAGTTCAAAGAACCTCAGATAAGATTTTATTTAATAAGGGTGGGGGAAAATCCACTATTTACTTATCCAGAAATACCCATTCACTCCATAAATGCTTATTAACTACAATTTAGCCTCAAATCCCAAACTTACTCCCAGTTCTTTTCCTTAAGACAACCCATGAAGATTGGTCAAAATGTAGTTATGATCGGAAAATTAAATGCAAAAGAAGGCAGCTAACTTATAAAACTATTAACCTCTGACACACACAGAATCATAGACTATCAGATGAGGCCAGCTTTACTTTTACTAGTGAGGTGACCCTGGACAAAACTGCTGTGCTTTGGCTTCCCACCTGTAAGGCAGGGATACTAGCAGTACCTACTCATGAGGCGGTTGTGAGGATCCAATGAGATAAGCCATGCAAAGCACGTAGCACAGTGCCTGGCACTCAATCCCTATAAGTTGTCTCCTTCTGCTTCATGTCACATCTCATTCCACATCTTAAAAAACTAAAATACAGAGAGATTAACTCACTTGTGTAGAGCCTCACAACGAGTCAAGGGCAGAACCAGAAGCGGATCCAGCTTTAGTCCAAGGGTGTTTCCACCATAGTCTGCAGCCTCACTCTGCAGTACAAAGCTTGCTTCACACAAGGGAGTTCCAGGTGTCAAGCAGCTTTGAGGGTCATCTGGTCTCCTGTTTTCTTTCTATATGAACATTTACAGAGTGGTTACAATATGTCAGGCACTAGGCTAAGTACTTTCCATTACCACCACATTTAAGCCTCACAAAAACCCTACAAAATGGGTACTATTATTAGCCTCATAGTTACACATAAGGAAATGAGGCCCAGAGAAGTTAAACAACCTGCCCAAGGTCACACAGCTAGGAATAAGGCTGAAATCTGAACCCCAATAGTCAGCTTCCTGAACCCATGCTCTTACTCAACAGGGAGTAAACATGGCAACTTTAATTTAAACATTAATATTTTTTTCCAACTGTTAAATCACCCTTGCTCCATCAAGAATACTGCCATCACACGCACATTTTACTCAAAGTCAACTCAGTGCTTGCTGAATCAACTGAAATGTAGACAAATACCAGGTAAAAATTATTCACTTTAATAATCCAATTTAAGTTTTGAAGACAATTTGTAGTGTAGGTAGCAAGAAGAGCTTCACATTTTGAGCAATAACTGAAAACTGGCAACAAACAAAAAACAACATAAACCACCACAGCTCTGAAAAGCAGTCTTTCTGGTCTGGGCTGCAGTTACCTCAAATCCCAGCCAAGTTTTCCCACCTGATGCTGACAGGCCCTTGGTCTCGCCCCCTGGGAGAAAAGAGGTTCCTTAGCTACTCCACAGAACCCTCAAGATTAACCCAGCATGACCCACATTCCCTCTCCCAAGAACTGCAACTGCCTCTCCACAATGCACTGCTTCCTCAAGACCACGAACACTAATCCAAGAACAGCAGAAGCATCTAGGGGCTTCCCAAAGCTTTCCTGACTCAGCTATCATCACAAATCCCATGACTCAAGGCACCTCCCCAAATTCTGTAGGGCTGTCAGTGCACAAAACCAAACCCAGGCCTCCTCTCTGTGCCTTGCTCATAAGCCTCCACCACAACCTACGCCCATCTCTGCCCAGCCAAATCTGACCCAGCTCCAAGCACCTCTCCTCCAAGGAGCCTTGTGTAGAACTCTAGCATCAGGTGCTACACCCTAGCACACTGGGTACATCCATGTATCCTGTTCCAGGGGAGGTCTCACTGAGCCAACATTCACTACCCAAACACAGACACTGAATAAATTTGGATACTTTTTTTTTGAGATAAGGCTGATGTCCCTTAACATTCTATTTCTTGCTACTCACTATCCAAAACTCAGAAAACACAGAGATCCTTATAACACGGCATCTGAACCCACTACAATAATTCAGGAACCACACAGACTCAGATGGCAAGGATTACTTGTACTGACCTCAAACACAAGAGTGATACATTTGTGTCTCCAGGGAGCACTTCCATTTTCACAAGAAAAGGTTGGATTCAGTGACTTTTCACTAGCTTTTTAGTGGGTCTCGTATTGACCTCCAAACCCAGACCCAAAGGACTTAGACATCAAAGGGACAACAGTAAGCATTCATATAAACTTGAAAACACAAAAATTATATACATTAACTTACTGTATGTATGTCCCCAATCCCTCCAAAAAACAAAATCTGCTGTCCCCTCCACTTTCACCCCAGCAGGTCCTGATAAACAGGAATGCAATACATATTTGTTGAATAAAATAAATGAGATAGCCAAGGGAAAGACAGATCCCCCACCCCTACCCTCCACACAGAGGGAAATCCAGACACTGTAGAGCTCTTATCTCTATATCAGGAACCAGGACATCACAAGCAAACATGCTTGAGGAGACCAATGGTGCTGGCTATGGAAAGATTAGCCCATGCTTTGTTTACAGGCCCCTGGAATCATCTCCTGGGCCCAGTGCCCACTGTGGAAAACACATCATCCCACCACTAAATCAGTGCTTCAGATCAAGGAAGCATAATAGAGACCTTTACTTCAAAGCAACCTTGATGGATCTTGATGTGATTGCCTAGCATAAATTCACCCTGTGGACACAGGCCCTGATTCAATTCAGGCTTAGTCTATGTATAATGCTTGGTTTCACAAGCAATGTTATTCTGAGTCTTGTGTTTGCACAGGAGACTAACATTGATGATATTTCCTTCTCTATAACACTCTCACTTACAGGAGGCCAGGTACTTGGAAAAATGTGGTGCCAGAGATGGCTTTCATGCCACTTACTGGTCAGCACTGAGTATTACTCTCCCATGTTAGAGTATGAATCACAGTTTCTCCCTTAAAAGAAAAAAAAAAAAGAGGGGGAGAGAAAGAAAAGGAGGGAGGGAGGGAGGGAAGGAAATGAAAAAGAAATTCTTCATTTCTATCTGGATTTAATTCTTTTTTTTTGTCTTTTTTTTTTTTTCGTGTCCGGCAATGGATCGCAACCCTCAGTGTCGCGCCCGTACTGGACCAGGACCGGCAACGGGATCGCAATCCTCGGTGTAGCAGTGCGCCACCGGGCCGGCCCCTGGATTTAATTCTTAAGATCTCCCTTCAGCTGTGGAGGCAAGAAGACTGTAGATTTCAGAGACAAGTGAGTTGTTCCTACAGGTCCCACCGGAATGTTTGCTCCATGAGGGCAGGGACCAGTCCCTGCCCTGTTCACTGCTGCATACTGAGGGCCTGGAACAGTGCCTGGCACACAACTAGAGTGACTATCTGCTAAACGGACAAAATTGATTTGCAATTCAACCTCCAGCTCCAATGAGGCTCTCAGTTGGGGAGTTGGTGGTTTTTCTTATGCCCTTCACTCAGGCTCCCAGTGACTTGGGGAAGCCTCCTAGACACTGAGACTTCATTTTCAGTCTGTTTAATGCACAGAGTCTGAGTTGGAAAAGCAGACAGAAAGACTGATGCTTTTGGAAAGCTGGAAAGTACCATTATGTGAGTTTTGAGGATCAGCAAAATGTGCTTAGTATCACAGAGCTATATATAATCACACATTGTTTCCACCTAAACAATTTCAATCTTTAGGTGCCTGGCATACTACATATACTCAAGGGAAATGGGTTCCATAGAAAAGAGACAAAACAAAAAGTTCAGCACAATCACAAATGAGTGCTAAAAGCAGGTTCTGTTAGTATGTAACAGAAGGGAGAAGAAACACTAAGGGAAATCAAATGCAAAGCCCAGCCACAAAAAGGACAAACCCTCTAGTGTGAGGATGTACATGTCCTTCTTAATCAAAGCAGGGAAAAGCAAAGGCCTAGTAGCTTTGAGAAATAAAAAAAAAGGAACCCTCAGGACTCTCCGCCCTGCCATGCAGATACAACCCGTCCCATCTTCTGGCAGGTTTCTCCCCAATCATTCTGGACCAATAAGTATGTTAATTTGTTGATTAAAGACTCATTACTGTTTGCTGTCCAGCCTTGTCCTTTTAGGAAGTTTGTTGTGGTGTCTGTATTTTTTTAACCCCACACAAGTATAACATGTTACAAATCTTGAGGTACTTTCACACACTTTCTTTGGTTATTTCAATCCTAAGAACCCAATGGAAACACAAAGACAAATAAGAAAGAGCAGCAGTCTGCAAGGGGCTAAATCTGGTAAGGATTTTGAACAGTTCTGTGGGCTCAATAGAGTAAACACCATTTTGCAGATGGTGAAATAAGTCGGAAATGCTAAGAGACTTGTTGACTTATCCAAGGTTAGAGGGTGACAAAGTCCAGCCCAGACCCTAAGCCTGTTTCTATTACATCCTACACAATACCTACACAGCTAAGATGCTGCTTTAACAACTAATAAACTTCATGGAAACAAACACATCACACACAGGGCAAGTACTTTCTCTCCTTTGTCAAGGCTGCCACATTATCTTTTAAAACTCAAGACATAAAAATCTGCCCTTTCAGTAAACATCTGCACTACATCCAGACCAGCCTAGGACCAAAGCTGAAGCTGATCTTGATTCACCTGCCAAGGTGTGAGTTTTCACGGCTTCTCTATCCATAAGCAAAGCATCCCTCAGTAGTATGATGGGCTGTTTCTACCACAGCGACCACTGAGAATACCCCATTTCTCACTGTGATTCACAAAAGAAAAACATGTCCAGGATTCTTGTCCTCTATTTGTTTATTTATTTAACTTATGCCCCACCTTATTACAAAAAGTATTTAAAACAGTGGTTCTTAGGTATATCTGACAATTCTCAACTATTCAAACTGATTTTTCAATGTATAGATTTTATCTATTCCAGCTTTGCTCCCCCTCCCATCCTCACCTTCCAGGTGCGCAAACACCTATAATCCATAAATAAGTTTATAACATTCTTGGTATGGTCAAACTCAGGAAAAAGTGCACATGGCAAAGTTAAGTTCTTAACCACATATGAGGGGTCTTCAAAAAGTTCATGTAAAGATTCATATATCTTTCAATTCTATTTTTCCGTGAACTTTTTTAAGTACCCTCGTGCATATTCCCTTCCTATTAGTGACTACACTGGGCCAGTAGCAAGAAGCCAGATTTATGATGTCAGGTAGGCAGGACAGCAGTGAGGAAAAGGAAAGCCTGGGGGTGAGAGTGGTCCCTAGAACCAAAGAGGAAATGCTGCTGATGGAAAGTACATCTCTTCCATCCCATCCTCCCCTCTTCTTCTGCTGTCTGTGACCTTGGAATCACTTCTCCAGGTCTCAATGACTCTCTGTCAAGAGGGATCATTGGGAAGAGCAAAAATTGGTGGAAATGAAAGTGCTTTAGCTTCACTCATGTAACGGATCCTTTTAATGTGCAGAATCCCTCTCTGAATTATCCAGTAGGGACCTGAAGCAGCTTGTTTCCCAGATCCTGGCCAGGAAGAACAGCCATACTCCCTGACTCTCAAGACCATGGAGGCCTCTTTAAGATCACTCAGCCCTGAAAGTGTTTTCTGGCTTAAAGTGGACATGGAAATGTGCTTCCTCTCTTTTCTAAAGACATAAATGATTTTTTAAAAGCTTTTGACAGGGTACTTTCCTGCTCTGAGTTGTGTATCACTAGTGAGTAATAAGCTAGCTGGCACCCTTCTTAATATTCAGCATATTACCTGATCCAGAATGTTTCTGAAATCTGAATCACAGTCCTCTGTTGCACACTGGCTGTCGTTGTTTATACACATGTAAAATTACAGCAGGGTGAGCTACAACACAGACCAACCATCAGTCTCTAAAATGAAAAGCTACACTATAACCTAATTTTCAAGACCTTCCCAAGCCCCCACATAGCCATAAGAACTATCTAAGTAACACAAACAATAGGAAAATCCATTCTAGGTGGGCCCAGGTATCCTAATCCCAAAGACAAGAGTGGAGTAAGATAGGTTTTAGAGGACTTTTGCACCATCTAAAATTCTAGGAGCAGAAGAGAGTCTAAATAACCATGTTCAGTGCCCAAAAAAGTACCACCTGAAAAAGAGACTCCGGGGAAGGAGTTTACCCTTAATATTCAGGAGCAATAATAAAACATTATGGCCACTGTTCCTTCATGGATTCCACAACACACATTCCAATACTCATTTTAGGCTTTCTGAAATGTTTCCCCTCCTCTTTGTCTGGAAAGTGTTACTTGATGGTTCATACACTCTTTGAGGATTACTGTTAATAGGTGGTGACCCTGATTAGGCACAGGCAGAATTAGATCAAGAATCTACCACTGTTCAGATTCATAACGGTATTATTTTAAAAAATAATAACGTTAAAGAAATGCCTTCTAGTGATCCTCAAAGGTCCAAAAACCAGGCAACTATGGCCTCCATTTCCATTTTCCAGATATCCATTATGAGTGCTATTTGGCCTCCAAGTAAATTTTATTGCTTCCAGACAAGCAACGGATCACACCAGTTTTACAATCATAAAATCAACATAATATGTAAAAAGTTCCACAGGAAGTACACATCAAAGAAGCTCGAAGGGTAAAATGAATGATTCCTTCCAAGACAAAAAGAGAAGTTTTAAAAACTACAGCAGATGAAAAGATGCCTTTTCATCTAAACTGCTCACTCCTGCCCAAAACAAAGCCTACAAAGACTCCTCCCACCAGGCAGTCTACCACAGAAAGCATCATCCCCATTTTCCTTTCTGTCACAGCTGAAAACCGCCCTTCCTAATTAAGCCAACCTACTTCCTACCCCAACACAATCCTTGTTTTTCAATTGCCATATTTCCAGTGAATGAAGAGTGAACTGTCTTTTTTTCTCGGGCAGAAAGAGATCCGCTCATATTCTTTACCGTATATTCCTGGTATGCTAACTGCATTCTCATGGGCAATTTTAACTGACTGAAAACCGAAGTAAAGAACGCAAATAGGAGGATACAGGACAACAATGCTTTTCAAACTTTTCTGTGTGACACATAGAAAAAAACAAATGAACATCTAATACTCTGCATACCTGAAGCAAGATCAAGAAATAATACCCTTACTAAGTGCAACATCCTCTGATATTTTCTACTTCATTTTTTAAAAATGATGGCTGTGATCTACTAAACTGATTTCCAACTCACCAATGCGACTTACAATTTGAAAAACTGCAATAAATCAAACCTTACAGTTGCATTCCACAAGCTACTAACGAACCCTTGAAAAGCGAGCAGACAGCAGAAACACTGACCAACTACGAGAACCGGACACCTCCAGGTAGGCAGTGTTTTTCTGTGCAGCAGTGGCAGCGAGGGGGCCCCCCATCACCAGCAGCAGCCCGAGTTTAATTATCTCCCAAACTCCCAGCGTTTCCCAAGTAACCCAGGGTGACTCTGTCATATGCCCTTTAACCTCTTTATAAATTCAGTCCAGTCAATCTCTTAGGGTGGCAAAGATCATTTACTGCCCACGGTGGAAAGCAATACTTCCTTTTTATCCCCTCCAAGAAACCTGAAATTAAATGAACAGGTTGGTGCTCGTCGTGCCTTTGTGATCTATTTGTGTGGGTGATACATAGATATTCTGTGTGTGTGTGTGTGATCATCTCTCCAGTCTTAATCACTGGCAGATGCAGTCTCTGGCGAAGGGAAAAGCCAGGGAACCCCCTGGGCCAGGGAAGTCATTCATCAGCATGACAGAAGTTAAAGCAAGGACTCACTTGTCACACCACAGAAGCGCCTAGCAAACTCATCTCCAGACCCAAGTGGGAAAAGGGAGGAGGGGAGCAGATAAACCAGAGGGGACGCGCCAGAGGGACCGGCCAAGGCCATCCGCGAAGGACTGACCGCAGCCCGCCCCTTCCCTGGCCGGCTCCACACCCCTGGGAAGGCAGGTGAGCGCAGACCGGGAGCATGGGGGGCGCAGAAGTCGCAGGGACCCCCCTCCCACCGCCCACAGAGAGTGAGACAGAGGAGGGTCCGGGTCAGAGGCCTTCCCTTCGCGTCGAGACCCCTCCCACTGACCCTCTGCCCCCAAAGGGCCCCTATCCTCCCACTCCGGCCTCTCCTCCCCCAGGGAGTGCGCCTCCCCTACTGCAGGAAAGATAGAGGGGGGCGGAAAGAGAGTTAGGAGCTTGACACCCCTCCTCGCCCACCACCATACCGCTCTCGCCGCCCTGGAATAGCCAGCCGCGGGCCTCACGAGCCAAGCTCCGCCTCCCCCATCCCCCATCCCCCACCGCGGGCTCTTCCCCTGCGCCTGCGCACCGGACCCAGACCCCGCACCATCCCGAGCCAAATGTGAGTCCTCCGACCCTGTCGGGCGTCCAGGTGTGAGCCGACCTCTGTCCCCAACCCCCGGGAGATCCCAAGGGGTGGAACCCCCGCCCCCGAACCCTAGTGCCACTCTTCTCCCACCTGCCCCGTCCAGGTGAGCGTCCTTTCTGCGCCCCTCCGGGGTTCCAGCTGCGCCCCACCACCCCGCTGCCGCTGTGGGAAACCAACCGCCCCCGAGTTATGGATTCCGGGGTCGCCAAGTCGATGCCCTCGGTCTCTTTTATCTTTTCTGTTCCCGGGGCCGGGTACATCCGAAGCCGGCCTAGGGCAGGTGTTCGGGCTCCAGCAAGGGCAGGGTTCACGGGTGTTGGCACGAAGCCGGCCGCTTCCCATGGCCAGTCTGGGGACTGGTCGGCGGGCTGGGGAGGCGGCTGGCCCCGGGAGCGTGTCCTCTCCTTGCGCCCCACACAGTGCAGTTCATTCATGAGCAGCCCGGGCCTGCGTTAGAGGGTGCGGTGGGGAAGATTCCGACGCGGAACCGGGAGTGGGGCAAAGGCCCTGTAGGAGGGAGGGGGCTCTCTTTGTCCCTTCTGGCCGTCTTGACCGCCTAGAGCGGACAGCCCCACAGCTTGGCGCCTTGTTCCCCAGAAAAGCGAAGGTCGCTTGGGAAGTGGGGAGGAGAGGTCAGAGGGGCCGGCTGCCCTTGGGGCTCTGTGCTGCCACCTGCTTTGGTCTCCTGGGCAGAGGTCTGTGCGCTCAGAGCAAGCCTGATCACTCCATTGCCCTGGAGTGCTGGGAGTTCTGGGTCTGCAGCAGCCCGGGAAGAATGAGGCTGTTCCCAACACCTCCTAAGTAGGGGCCACAGTCCTGCCTCCAAGGCACAGGTGAGGAGGGGAGGAGGAGTGTTGTGCTGGCAGCGTGATTGTCCTGCAGGGCACCAGAGGGTCTAGGCCCTGGCATGCCCCAGGTGGCACATGCTGGGGCGTGCTGTTTGGCTCACCCAACACAGTCTTGGCCTGTGGGTGAGTGGGTAAGTGGGTGGGGATGTGGCAAGGCAGAAGGCAGGTGATGGGTAGCTGAGAACCCTCTTATGGATATCATACAGGTTCCCTCCAAGTATCACAGAATGATCGAGGCCTGGGTTCAACTTCTAGCTCTGCCATTCTTTAGTTGTGTGACCTTGACAAGTTACTTAACCTAGCTGAACCTCAGTTTCCATTCAAATGTGTGGTTACTAGGACTTCCTTACAAGGTTTGTCATGGGGATCAAACAAGATAACACAGGTAATTAGCCTGGCACCTCCCTGGTAGTTGATCAATAATGCATTCTCTTAGAACTTCTGACCCATCCTGGCATAGCATCCCTCTCCCGTGCCCCCTCATCCCAACCTGCTACAGATGGGTAGGGTATGTTGGAAGAGTTTGGGAACATTCTCTGCCTCTCAGTGGCAGAGTCCCTAACACAAGAGGCCTATCCTGACTGAGGGACTTTATCATATCTCTGTCATATTAAATTTTATGTTTTATTTTGATTTTTACCAGTTTTCCTCCTCCTACTAAATCAACTGCCTTTATTCCACATCTTATTAATAACAATAGCTAATATGCCTTGAACTATTTTAAGAGCTTTACATAAGTTATCTTGTTTAATCCTCAAAGCAACCACACAACTGGATTATTGTCCCCATTTTACATATGAAGGTACTGAGGCCCAGGGTGAATAATAATTTGCCCAGGTTAGAAGCCAGGTCTGTCTCATCCTTGAGCCCATGCTCTTTACCTCCAGACTGTGTTGCCTGTCCCCTACACCTGCCTCAGAACCTGAAATCACAAACCTAAGTCCTGAGTGATGGGTCTAGGAGCTACAAGAGAAAAGGCAAGCTGTTAGAAATAGGGTGTGGCATTTCTCCAGAGTGGTGGCTAATGGCCCCCGACTCTCTGGTGGAAGTGGCTCCTCTATTTGCAGAGGCAGCAAAGTGCAGTGGTTAAGAGCACAGACACCAGCCAAATTGTCTGGGTCCTTGTCTGAATCTACCACAGACTGGCTGTGTGACCTTGGGCAAGTTATGTATCCTCTCTGTACCTCAGTGCCCTCCTGGGGTTGTGATGGGGAGCAAATGAACTAGCATTTGTAAAGTGCTTAGAACAGTCCCTGGTACAAAATGAGATTTAAGTAAGCATTTAATAAATGCCTTATTTTACGTGTGACCTTGGGCAAGTTATGTATCCTCTCTGTACCTCAGTGCCCTCCTGGGGTTGTGATGGGGAGCAAATGAACTAGCATTTGTAAAGTGATTAGAACAGTCCCTGGTACAAAATGAGATTTAAGTAAGCATTTAATAAATGCCTTATTTTACTATTGCTTTTATCTTCACTTGTGGGTACATTTTTGTCTATCCCTCTGAAGTCAGTAGGAGGAAGGGCGAGGCTATTAATATTTCACTGTTACAGACTGGAAGACTGAGGCCCAGGTTACAGAGCCCAGGTTATAGTAACAGAGCTAGCCTCCATCTTCTCCTCCTGATAGACCACACTGCCTTCCTATGATCCCAAGCCCTAAATTAAATCTTCCCCAGTAACTCTATAAGAAAACGTTTTTTAAATTACTATATTTATCATTACACAATGAAATCATTTTTTGTGGCCCTTTACCAATTTCTCGCTGAACGCCCTTCCCCTTTCCAACGTCTGGTGGCCTCAGTTCTGTTCTCTCCTTTTGAAAGTTCAAATAAGAAAACACTTTTAATTTATAACTCTACAACCCCCACCATGCAGTCACTCTTTAATGATAAAATAACAGGCTTAAGTTAGCTAGAAATAAAATCCTCCATCACTCTCTCTACACACTTCTAGCTCAAGTCTCAGTATCAGACTGGAGAAACTCCCGCATACAGTTGGCTTGGGCATCTCTGTGGAGTGGAAGAACTGTCTGTCCCCTGCCACATCCCCTGCTCCGAATATTCTGCTTCAGCCTCTTCCCTCCTCTCAGTGGCTCAGCCCAATGCATGGCTTTGAGAGCAGCTGCCCTTGAAGAACTCAGCCTAGCAAGCCCGCCCCCACAATTGAGAGCTTGGAGTAACCCTGTCAACCAGCAGAGCCACGGGCCTGGCTCCACCCCTTACCTGCCCTGTGACCTCGTGTGAATTGCTTCTCCTCCCTAGGTCCCTGTTTCTTGCCCTGTAAAATGGGGACAGCGATCTGTGTGCCCTGCCTTCCTGCCTTCCTCCTGTGTAGGGGTGTGTGTGTGGTGGGGAAGATCAGTGCAGTTGGGAAGAGGAGAGTGCTTTGTGACTGTAAAAAGGCCACAGAGAGGCATGTTGATTTTAGTGACAAGCATCTAGCTAGATCCTCACCCATCCTGCTGGAGCCCCTTAATGTAGAAACTCCCAGAATTCTCCCCCTTCACAGTAGAGAAGATGGGGTGGATGGCACTCTAGGGTTTGTTCTCGTTGCATTCTGGCCTGGTGGAGCCTTGGAGTTTGAAGACAGAAACAGGCAAGGGGTGGGAATGGGCTGTTGAAGTTTCTGGAGTACATTGGAGTTGGGAGTTGAGAAAGAGGGGACTAGTTAGAGCCCTACCACCACCACCACCAAGATACCTACACCTATCTGTAACTTCCCCTGGCACCCCAGGTTTCTGTGCACCTTATGTTTACATACCCAGGCTCCCAGACACACCCACATATACATCCCCACTTAGAGACCAACAACTCCATTTCCATGGACTGCCATGCAGTCACCCAGCTCTCCCTGCACACAGGTGCACACATCGACACACATTTTCACACCTAAATGTACACATTCCCACAGTGCCCTATGTTCTTTGGCCTGAGAACATTTAATGAGCATTTTTTTTTCCTTTTTGTCTTTTTTCGTGTCTGGCAACGGATCGCAACCCTCAGTGTCGCGCCCGTACCGGACCGGGACCGGCAACGGGATCGCAACCCTCGGTGTTGCGCCCGCACCTCGCTCAGCCAGTGAGCGGGAACCGGTCTGTATGTGGGATCCGAACCCTCGGCGGGAGCGCCGCCACGCTCCCAAGCGGCGCACTGTAGCAGTGCGCCACCGGGCCAGCCTTTAATGAGCATTTTTGAAGCTTCCATGGTCTGTAGAGTACTGTTCCAGGAACATCAGAAAATCATTTTGGTGCCCTGAAAAGTGTTCTGGCTTTAGGAAGAAGTTGAACTAGGTTCGAATCCCAGGTTTATCATTTTATTAGCAGTGCGACCTTGAGAAAGTTACTTAACCTTTCTGAGCTCCTGTGCCTTCATCTTAAAATGGCAGTGAAACAATTTATAAGATTGTCGAGGATTAAATGAAATCGTGTATATACGACTATTATTCTTGAAACAGTGGACACTCGATAAGTGGCGCCTGCTACAATTACTAAATTATTGTGTTTTTAAAGGCAGCTTAGTCTGGAAAAGAGGGAGGCATAACACACAGAGGGCAATTACTTTAGCCTTCCTAACCCAGGCTTTGCAGAGACTCCTTGGGACCAAGGGAAGCACATAAACAACCCCAGCTTCCCCTTCCATTTGAGAGCTTGTGCCTCTTGCCCTGTGGTTGGAGTGTTAAAGATGCAGGGGAAAACCCTCAGACTGCTGGGCAGGAGAAACCCTCTGAGTCACCTAGGGGGCTGAGGAACGCTTCTCCCAAAGTTGCAGTCACCGATTCTAAGTTTGTTGTTCTTTCTCTTTGTCTGGTTTCCTTTCTTCCCTGGGGATTCCCTCCCCCCCCAAGGCAGAGCTTCAGTGTTGTCAGCAGAAGGGGTCCCCAGGGGCCCCCCAGTAGGACAGGGTGGAGCAGCACTGCTGCTGCTGAGGCCACATTTATCCTCCTCCACCCTGGGAGCTTCCCCAGGGCCCAGTTCAGCTCTCTCCCCAAGCACTTCCAGAACCCAGGCATCAGGGCTAACTGCCCCTTCCCTCTTCTTCCTGCTCACCCCAT